TNCACCTCTCCTGCAACATCAGTTGGAAGAAATAGCTAAACAGAAGTTGCCTGAGAGCAGCGGTTCAGGAGAGAACAAAAGACGGAAGTTGGTGGTCATTGGTCAAGATTGTGTGGAACCGCTTGAGGCACTCCGAAGTGCTGGTCATGAGGTACTAAATTTATCTCTCTGTTTTTTTTTTTTTTTTTTTTTCCTGTTTAGGAGGTTTGGGTGATGTCAAATGGTGCCTTAACTTTCTGTTTAGAGAGCTAGCAATTTTTTTAAACGTGGAATTACTGTTTCTGAGCTGAACATCAGATTAGAGGAAGTTTTCTGAAACCATCTTCCAGTTTCAAGTATATTACAGATTATGTACTTCTTCCCCTAGAATTTTAAATATCTTTATTATGAAAACCGCTCATGAATGATTCACTCGTGAGAAATATATCTTGTCTCCTGTTTATCTGTTGCTTCTCATGTAGGATATGCATGCCTGACCAAGGAAGATTGAACGTCTCATTTCAGTTTGTAATCTTTTTCTCATCTTGAAGTTTTCCCACTAAACATTCTCTTTCTCCCCTCAACACCAGGTGCGGATGGATGTAAAAGGAGTGGCAGAAAAGAGGAGAAATCTGGAGAACTTGAGGAGAAGAAGAAAAGAGGAGAAGAAACGTATGCATCATTCTTTTTTTTTTTCTTTTTCTTTTTTATTTCCTTTTCCCCTTCTCATCTATCCTTTTCAATAAAAAAATTCTCTCCTATTTCCTTTCACAGAGAGAACTAACTTCTTTTGTTTTTCCCCTTGCAGGTTTTCGTGATCAACGGAGAAAGCAGAGGAAACAACTAAAAGGAAATGCTGACTAAAATATCTTCTCAAAGTTGTTTTATGCAATGTCCATTTTGACATGTTCGTAGCTGGAGGGTTTCAAAGCTCTTACCCTTGAGAAAAGAAAATTCCAAACTTGACCATAGCATTTATACGGTGCGTGTATACGATATGAGTCACTGTTTTAGAAGTATGGCTCACGAATGTGTAAAGAACTTGTTTTTATAATTTTGGGAGATCCAATTAGTCTACATAGAAAACTGAAAATGTCTCAAATTCAAAATCATAAGCCGCTTAAACTAATTAATTGTCAATTCTAGTTGTCCATAAATGTGAAAACACAAAGGAAGATGGATGCCATTTTTCCACCGAAATTTCTTTCATGTTAGGTGGTGTGAATATTGGTTTTCTATTTGTGAAAATGTGACATCAATTGTGTGTGAATGTGGAGGAATTACGAGAGTTGACATTGAATTGGTTGATTTTCTCATAAATGAGTATGACTTTGTCTATAGGTTTAGTGCCGGATGGTATATGTCATGCCTGGATCTGGTGAATATTGTATTTGTTTTTATCATTTTAATAGATTAAGATAAAAGTGTTGAATTTGGGATTTCTTTCCAATTTACTTACTCTTGTTTCAATTATAACAGTGACTTCTTCACGTAAAATTGAAATTGATAACCAACCCTTGGGTTGCTCGAGCCGTTAATGGGATTTTTGAGTATATTATTTAAGAAGTCTTGAGTTGAGTAGTTCTTATCTAATGATAGTTTTAGGATTCTGAAAGATTAGTTGAGGTATGCGTAAACTGATACGAGCATGTCGATTATAAAACTGAAATTGATATTTAACTTTGGTCCATTTTAAATACCATTAAAGTATACGGTCTTATTAGCTTAAGTCAATTTATCAATAATACATTTACATTTGAGTATTATTTTTTTTTTAAATAAAATGGGATTATTTAATCAAACTTGTATTTACAAATTAATTAATTATTTTGACTCATTCTTCTGTTGTCATCATGTGTCAGGTATTGTAATAATGAATAAGTCAATACTTATTATTATATAGTTTTGGGGAATATTTAGATTATTTTAAGTTTTCAAATTTATCATTAAGATAATAACTTTCTTGATTTTAAAGGACCTTCAAATTCAAAGTTGAAATTTGTATCATGATTCATGGATACCCTTTTTCTCAACTTTGTTATATTGTATATGTGATAGATGAGTGAAATGGAAACTTTGATCATATGAGAGAGTATATGTGGAATGGTAACTTTGGTTTTATAAAAAATATTGAGTGATGCGAAAAACATATCAAAAAAAAAAAAAAAAAAAAAAAGGTATATGTGATCAAGTTTTTAAATTTTGATTTCAATGATACATTTTTCAAATTGTGAGAGTCTATACGACATTCTTCTATAGATTTTATTTATCTATTTCTTATAGGTTTACTTAAGAAAATTTAGAAATTCACGTAATAATAATAATAAATAGTTGATTAAGTAAATTATATCAAAATAATTGTGAATTTTTGTTCCCTTTTTCATGCTTTCAACTAATGGAATTAATTATATGTCAAATAATTTGAATCAGCTTAATGATAGGCTTTTAAAAAAAAAAAAAAAAATGAAAATGACACGTATAAAGTATATTGGATTTAATATAACTTATTCCCGAGAATCTTGCTGGAATATTTATTGGATTAATTATGAATAATATTTTTGATTCCTTAATCCACGGTTTTAAATTATTGGATTCTTAAGAAAATAATAATTAATTAGTGGCAGCCCGCCATATACTGATAGGAATTTCATCCACCAATTCGATCAATTGACTTATTAAAACTCTTAAATTATTGGCTGATTAATCTTAAATTATAAAATTAAACTATGTTTGGTGTGACAACCGTGGATGATAATTTCTGGGTTAGGCTTTTTCTAAATTTTCTGACTTTTAATAAATTATTATCGTAATTAATCTTTTATTACTGAAATTAAATCATCAATTTTCAAGTTCATATTACATGAATTTAAATTGTTGTGAAATTTAATTTTATGATTTAGAAAGAATAATTAAAAGCAAAGCTTGTATATATAAAATTATGGAATTAACCATACTAATATTTTATAATTGAATTAAAATTATTTTATGAAGTATTATGTTGATATTATTTTATTATAATTTGTTGTCATGGAAATCTGTTAGGTTGTAATAGCTGTGCCAACTAAGGATGATGGTATTATTTGTTTTTTAAAGATTATAGAATATTCCTTGTGATTTTATAAAATCTTATAGTATAATCAATGAGATTTGAATAATTGTGCAAAGTTATATCATATATTAATTTCAAATGAAATGAAATACCTTGACATTGACTATGATTATATTTATAACATTAATACGGTCAACGTACGGAAGCCCACCGCTTTGTTAAAATCATCCTTAGAATATTCAAATGGTTTACATCTATAATTAATTAACTCAAAATAAATGAAATTAAAATTATGTAATGGGATGAGAAGAGATCTTTTTAACTTAAATTCCAATCCCTTAAATCTATTTATATTAATTGGTTATACCGCATAGTCATAGTGGACGCATGTGAGTGGGTTGATGAGAAGATAATGTTGGTAACTTTATTAGACATTAATAATAACTTATTGAAATTAATGACGCAATATATATATATATATATATATAATTTTGATGGAATGAGGTCCAACCAAGTGGGTGTAGTTTGTAGATACTAACAAACAAAATAATTGGAGGATAAGATTTAATTTAAGATGTGAAAATTACCACCACAAATGGAAATGGGTATAAATAAGAGGTTTATAAATCTTCTTCTTTCTCTTTCAACACTCCATTTCTACCCTAATCCCATATCATTTCACATTGAATAGACAACAAAATATTGTAAAAGAATTTTCTTCGGCTTTTTGACTATGAACAATTCATTGTTTTTTTTTTCATTATTATATTTATATAAATCTAACAAATTTATTTTAAATTAAATTTTACCAACAACCCCATTTAATTATTGATTTAAATAAAATGAAACATTGAATTAATCACACATAACATGGAAGACGTAGAATTTACGGATATTAACAACTTCTTAGAGGTTTCAATGTGTAAATAACTCATGAATAATATGAATCAATCACTCTATGTTTTATTTACTTATAAATGGTTTAATATTCCGTATTTATACATAATTAAAAACGTGTTTATAGAATATTAGGAGGAGACTGAGTTGGACTAAGACTCTACCACATTGGTTATATTTTATGTGATTTATTGGGTAGAGTCTACTTTCTACCTGAGGTTTGGCCTAGTTAATGTTATACCATACACAAGTCCAGTAAACATTTTTAGCCCCTGCATACTGCATTGTTGATAAAATATTGGTCCGACTTTTGTCTTGTACTTGACAGGGATCAAAATATTCTCATGGACGAAATTGTAATTATTATTTCCATTTAATGGAACTTTCATAAAAAGTAGAAACCACTCCAGTAGCTGTGTTTCCAACGCTCTAAACTCTGCGGATTTGTTATTTTATGCTTTAATTGAGACGAGTGCATTAAAAACATGTGTTAATCTATCACTTCAATATCTCTCAAATCCTTTGAAATATTTATTTAAAAAACTAATGAAGTTTAGCTTTAAAGATAGGGGTAGAGACCTTATCTTATGCATTTGAATAACCTTCTCTAAACAAATAAAATTTTAGTTTAGGGTTAGGTAAAAGAAAAAGAAATTAGAGAAACAAATAATAATTAATAATAACAATCAAGTACCAATTTATTATTTTTAACTGTAACTAATTTAAAGTAAATGATCTTTCTTTTAACACATATTAATGATATCAAATATTTAAGAAAGGAGCCATAGAGATCACGTGTGAATACAGAAAGAAGGTGAAAAATATTATAATATTAATTACTTATATTTAACCTTTTAATATTTCCTTAAATTTATTAAATGTCAAACACATAACAAAAAGACAACGAATATTCCAAATTAGACTAAGGTAAAGAATAAAAAGGAAAAGCATCAATTTAAATATTTAAAAAAAAAAAAAAAAAAAAAAGTCTCTCCTACAAACAAGGATCCAAAACAAAACAACCTCTCCCTACCATTTGCTTAACCAGCTCTACACTTCAGTTTATAAATAACTCTCTCCTTCTTCTTCGGTCTTCCCAACTCCAACTTTTAGCATTTCTTCTTCACTCTTCTCCCTCCTCCGTTTCCACCCATGGCCACGTCCTTGGCCTGCTCAGCAGACCAGCTCTCCCAACTCACCTCAATCTTCGGCCCCAACGCCACCAATGGCAGCGCCGCCGCCTCTTTTATCTGTAACCAGTTCGACGCCATCAACAACAAGTTCATGGATGCCGCCTTCGCCATCGACTCCACCTACCTCCTCTTCTCCGCCTACTTAGTCTTCTCCATGCAACTTGGCTTCGCCATGCTCTGCGCTGGCTCCGTTCGCGCCAAAAACACCATGAACATTATGTTAACCAACGTCCTTGACGCCGCCACCGGAGGCCTCTTCTATTACATGTTCGGCTTCGCTTTCGCTTTTGGTACGCCCTCCAACGGCTTCATCGGCCGCCACAACTTCGCTCTCAAGTCCATTCCATCGTCAAACTTCGATTACAGTTATTTCCTCTATCAGTGGGCTTTCGCAATCGCCGCTGCCGGGATCACCAGTGGCTCCATCGCTGAAAGGACTCAGTTCGTCGCTTATTTGATTTACTCCTCTTTTTTGACCGGCTTCGTCTACCCGGTTGTCTCTCATTGGTTCTGGTCCGTTGATGGTTGGGCGAGTGCAACGAATACCGGCAATCTCTTGTTCGGGTCGGGCGTTATCGATTTCGCCGGGTCGGGTGTGGTCCATATGGTGGGTGGTATCGCGGGTCTCTGGGGTGCACTCATTGAAGGTCCGAGAATCGGAAGGTTTGACCACTCCGGTCGGTCAATAGGCCTCCGTGGCCACAGCGCGTCACTCGTCGTTCTCGGGACGTTCATGCTCTGGTTCGGTTGGTACGGGTTCAACCCCGGATCTTTCACTAAGATTTTCAGCGCGTACACTTCAGGCTCTTATTATGGGCAGTGGAGCGCAATCGGCAGAACCGCCGTTACCACAACCTTAGCCGGCTGCACCGCGGCTTTAACAACACTTTTCGGTAAAAGAGTTCTGTCCGGTCACTGGAACGTTACCGACGTTTGCAACGGTTTGCTCGGAGGTTTCGCGGCCATTACTGCCGGCTGTTCAGTGGTCGAGCCTTGGGCGGCTATCATTTGCGGGTTCGTGGCGGCTCTGGTTTTGATTGGGTGCAACAAACTGGCCGAGAAGTTTAAGTTCGATGATCCATTGGAGGCTGCGCAGTTGCATGGCGGGTGCGGCGCGTGGGGGGTGATTTTCACTGCTTTGTTTGCTACTGAGAAGTATGTGAATGAGGTTTACCCGGGTAAACCGGGTCGGCCGTACGGGTTGTTCATGGGCGGCGGTGGAAGGCTTTTGGCTGCCCATGTAATTCAGGTCCTGGTGATTGCGGGGTGGGTTAGTGCGACAATGGGGCCTCTGTTCTTTATTCTTCACAAGATGAAGCTGTTGAGGATATCGGCGGAGGACGAAATGGCGGGTATGGATCTGACCCGACATGGTGGGTTTGCTTATATTTACCATGATGATGAGGATGATATGCAAAAGAATGGGATTAGATTGAGAAAAATTGAACCTTCGTCCATGACAGCCACTTCAGTTTAGAGGAATTTTCTTTGCGTTTGGTTTGGTATAATATTTTAATGTTGTAAAGATAGATCAAGATGTGGAGTTAATCAAAGGCTTTAATTTGTTTTCACATCACATGATGAGGTTTTTGTGATTGTATTAAAATACTCCTTATTTTGGGAGAAATGTTTTTGTTTGGTAGTATGAATTAATTATGAAATAGCTGTTTATTGTTGACGACTGCGATGGGCCCACAAACGTAGAATCTTGTGCAGCTATAAAGTTGGAACCGGTAATCCTTTCGAATCCGGATACTGCCCATCAGAAGAAGCCATTTCTATCATCCGGATACTTATCTATTTGTGACCTTAACTTATAATTTTATTTTTATGAATACTCGTCTACATAAACTTATTAATGGAGGACTCTTTTTCTCCTAAATAATGATGTAATTGTAATTTCTCACCTACAAAGTTTAAAAGAGCATTTTACTAACTAAATTTATATTTTCTTTACCATCCAAAACTTTAATGGTACTCTATTGAGAAAGATTGAAATACGTGTTGGTATCACATCAATCGTACCATTTATTATACATATGTCACATAAGTATTTATTTTAACAGCTACCCATGATATTAATTAAAAGGCAAATCCTGTATGTAAAATTTTTAATACATAACATAAATGAACTTAATATAAACATTGACCTAGTAAATCCAGTAATCCACGGTAAATTAAGGTGGATGACCTGACAATATTAAAAATAGTTTTGTAAGCAAATTTGGTGTGTATATAGCATCACTCTATAAATACCAATATAACAACATAAAATTTGTGAATTTATATTATTAATATAAAACTTACAAATTCAAAGACATGAAATAATATAATGATCAAAGGCTAATATAAAGTTTTCCTTAAAAACACCTTTTATAAATACCCATGGAAAAGAGTGAGTAGGATGAATTATTTGAATCTAATCTCTTAAAACCGATAATGACAAAAACCCAAAAGCATTCCACTCTATTTAACTCCTTTACTTTTATTTGTAAAGTAACCATCTCACCCCTCCTGTCATGCTTTATTTATTTGATGGGATCATTAACCTAATAATAAAAGACAGAGTCACAAACTTTCCTCATTAATTTTTTTTCTTATAAACGCAATATAATAATCTGTAATTACTCAAATAAGACCCATTATTAGGTATACAAAATTTATTATGAGCTGACCAATTACGAACTATTGTATTGCGTTTGTGAGAGAAAGTTAATGAAAAAAGTTTGTAAAAATAATATTACATGTAAGCTAATTAGGAGTTAATCAATTGCTCAGTTGAGAAAATGTAAAAACACACTCAAGCATAAACAAATTAATGTGATAATAATTAATTTATTTATAATTGTATACCAAGTGGGTTTCTATTAGGTTATTTTATTTTTTATTTAAAAAAAGGAAGCTGAAATAATAAGAATATAGGTAAAGAACAAGTGGTGCACCAGAAGGAAAGAAAGGGGTGGAAGTTGAATTGAATGGTATAACCTAACATCGCTGAATGTCACAAGAAGACTTGGAAAAGTGCAAAAGCCATGGAAAAGTCTTTGGATTTTAACTTTACATGTAGCCGCCATTCAAAGTAAGGCCATATTTTAAAAGTGCTTTTATGTGTAGTGGTTGTGGTCAAACTTTTACTCATCTGTGGGTGTGGCCCACATTATGGAATTCTTACACTATGATTATTATTTAATTGATCTTGTTGTTGACCGAAAAAATAATGTACAATCTAACCAAACTGGAAGGGTGTGAAAAGATTTCATGAACTACTGCATTTAATTTCCATAACAAAATTAACATAATTTTTGAACAATTCCTAGATTCATAATCTGAATATTAAATGGTTTATAAATTATAAAAATAAAAATAAAAATTGGGATTTTTCAATCAAGATGGCTGCAAATTAAATAATATTTGTTTTTAAACATCATTTCCTTTAGAAAAGAAAAAAAAAAAAAGTCATATTGAATGATTGATTATAGGATAATGAGGTTGAGATCTTCAAAATTTTGGTTTATCTATATTATTTAAGGATTTTTAAAAATAGTTATTTTATCTATAAAGGGGTGGGCGAGTCTAAGTACCCACCCTTTTTTGAAGGAACGGAACCAGCACAGACCAGTTCCTTTGATTTGGAACCGAACCGGTACCCAGGTAAATATCAATTACCCCCCAAAATTAAAAAAATAACAAATTAACCCTTATAAAATTATGATACCCCTATTAGTTTTCCGAAATGACAAATGCGCCCTGCAAACTTTACAAAAATTACAACCATTTCAATATCCATTTCAACCTTCCAAAATTAAAATTATATAACACTTTAAAACTTTAAATAACACAAATACAACAACATCATAACATATCAACCATCAAGTTTAATCCTCCCAAAATTAAAATTACATAACACAATAACGTCACATAATAAGTTAACAACATATCAATTTGCAAACTTCCAACACTAAAATTACGTAACATTTTAAATTAACACAAGCACAACAACACGATAGCTACATCAAGCTTCATCCCCAAAATTTGCGGTGGTAATGGTTTCTACATCAATTGCGTTCAGTACTACAAAAAAGAAAAGAAAAGAGGAACTCAATTAATCAATTAGGAATTTAGTATGTTGAAAAATTGAATAAAACTAAATTAACTAAATGAAAATATAAGACATTCATATTAATAAGTTACCTAAATCACAAGTCTCTGCATCCACCAAGTAATCTTTAGAAGGAGTAGGTGTGGGTGCACATCTTAACCAATCTTGTATACAAATTAACGCTTGTACAACACTCGGAGATAAAGAACTCTGAAATTGATTAAGTACACGACCCGATGTACTGAAAGCTGACTTAGAAGCAACTGAGCAAAGACATCACTTGCCATATGCGAGAGAACCTTATACTTCCCTTTATTTGCTTTCCACCAATCCAAGACACTCAACTCACACTTCACGGGTTCACGTTTCTCCTCAAGGTACTGCTCTAACTCTGATTTGTTATCATCAACTACCCCTATGTCCATCTCCTCCAAAAATGCGTCCTTGAAAGGGTGATACTTAACAATAGCATTAAAAGCAACAACACCAACTGAAGATTGATTAGTTCCCATTGGTGGAAAGGAACTAGAAGCTTGACCTTGTCCTACACGTGAGACAAGTCAGTCATAAACTCCAAACAGTTGTTCTAATACATCTCTCAAGTTTGCAGTCATCATTTCAGCTTTTGCCAAGTCATTGGCATAAATCTTTTTATAGCACCAACTCACATATATCATCTTATACTGAGGATCTAATATCGTTGCAATCAACACTATCACATTGGCTTTGTCAAGACTCCCATAATACTTGTCAAACTTCTCTCTCATTTTCTTAGACATGCTGTGAAGACAAGGATTAGGGTCGTTCTCTCAATCATTCAAAGTAAAGACAATGGAAACTATCTCATCAAAAATAATTGTTAGAAGTCACATATTTCGTCCTTGACATCCTTTTAATAGCTTCGTAAAACGTTTCCAAGAATTTGGCAAACACAATTGCTTTTTCCCAATCATCAGCTGAAGGAGTTTCATGTGACAAATCAATAGCAAAGTTGGGGTCCTCATCTTCCAACCTTTGAAAAGCTTTCCTGAATTTTATTGCAGTATCTAGCATGAGATAAGTGAAATTGCATCTAGTGGCCACATCTAGACACACACCACCTTTATAAGTTATTATTTCCTCTTTCACAAATCTTTCAAATGCTAGGGCTTTACCAGGAGAACTCCTCACATACTTAACTGAACTACGGATACAACGAATACTACCCTTTACCTCACTACAACCATCCCTCACAATCAAATTCTTAATATGAGCAGTGCATCTCATATGAAAATACTAACCATCCATAGTTAAGGCATTCCTATCCACCAATCTATCCTTCAAGTAATTGATTGCCACATCATTAGCACTAGCATTATCCACCGTTAAAGTGGACACATGATCTTCAATACCCCATTCAATGCATTTCTCTACCATTTTCCCTATCTCCCTACCCGTGTGACTACTAATGGTTTTAAAACCCAGAATCCTCATATGTAACTCCCAGTTCTCATCAATAAAGTGAGCAGTGAGGCATAAATAGCTACAGTTCTGAATGGAATTCCATATATTAATCATTAGAGCAATCCTAGACTTCAGAGAACTCAACTGTTTTTTTCAATGAAATCTTTTGACAATTGTAAATCTTCAAACAATCCCTAGCCACTATATGAGGGGAAATATGCTTCTATAAAGGTTGTAATGAACTTCCATATTTCCTAAAACCTAGCCGCTCCACCTTTGTAAATGGTTCTTCATCAACAATTATCATCTCAGCAAGTAATTGCCTAGAGACCTCTTGACTAAATCTCCAAGTGGTAACCGTACTACATTCCTTGTCATCTTCTTTGTTTGTGCTTCTAAAAGACGAGAGAATTGTCTGGCTTTTATCAACATTGTGGGGGTATTTCTTACAAGTTGATAAATGCTTGTGCATAGAGGAAGTTCCATTACTCACACTGTACGCTAACAACTTCTGACAATAGAAACACTTTATCTGGTTTTCTCATTATAAATCTTCTCAAGATGTTCCCACACTCCAGATTGCTTAGCCTGCCCATGCGTATTTCTATTTGATACCGACTCTCCCATATTAGGCGTATCCTCAATGTCAATGTTTTCTCTAATTGATGACATTGTTCCTGCAAACATTTAAATTGTTTTATAATTACCATGTTAAAAAGAGATTTTCAAAGTAGTATAAAAATTATGGTTCAACTTTAAGCAACAATTGTACAGCAATCACAACAAAAAGATGAAGTACAGAAAGCAAAGGTATCTACTACTAGTAGTAGATTAGAGAAGATAATAAATTTGAGTTAGAAAATAAGAACTTCACAAGGAAGAAAGCTTAAAAAGGGCGCAATAATTGCCTAAAAATCTTAAGTATTATATCACATCATTATAAATGAACATTAAGTACAGTTAAGATCACATGGAGAGCAAGCAACCAAAATTAAAGTCCAAACAAACCCAGCTACATAGCTTTTTCACAAGCTTCAATAGTTAAATTCTATCCCCTTTTTCAAATAAATATATCATATATGTTTGCCCTGCAACACAATTGACAGAATCAATATAGAATTAGAGTAGAGTTTGACTTGATTGAGCAAATGAAGTGGCTCAACCTACGGCCATGTAAGCTAGAAAGTTTGATAAAAAGATGGTCCAAACTTTTTTTCTCTATTATAACCAACCCACTTCAATTGTTAACTTACTCAATACCAAATATCTTCTTATTTTACATAACATACTGATAAGTCTTTATATGATCACCAACTCAAACAACGCAGTCATGGACACCCAAAATTCATCAAAAATAATGAAACTACAGTGCCATATTATTCTCTGTATATCTGTTTGGTAAAATCTTGTTATCATATATATAGAAACTTTCTCGGGAAAGTGCAAAACAAAAGTAGAAATTTGTTGGGAGATTAGATGGTACTGAAACCAAACACCAACCACAGTGGGAAGTTAGAGAAAATAATAATGAACGAAATCATGATATCATTTCATTGCCACCAATTGTTCATAACCAGCAAAATTGAAAAAAAAAAATTAAGCCAGAGAAAAAAAAAAAAAAACTCTCACGATCTGGAAATCAAATACTAAAAGACAAAATATAATATGCAAATAGCCAAATATGCAGATAGAAAATTCATGAAGAAGATGATAATTGAAAACCCTAAATACAAAAATTGGGGATTTTGAAATACCTGATTGGAGATATCTTGCGAATGTGGGAGTTGAGATAGTGAGATGGCGTGAGACGGTTCGAATTTCAGCCCCAGAGATTTAAGTTCAACAATTTGAACTGAGAGTGAGAGATATGAGAGATTGACAAGCCACAAGCGCATTGGAGAGGAGAATGGAGCTTGTCGATTTTTTTCCCCCAAATCACGAAATTTTCTTATGTATTTACATGAAATGCAAAATATCATAAAACCCCCCATAATTTAATCTTTTGTTAGTCCCGATTTTGGTTCTTTTGATTAGAATCGGAATCGCATAGTGTCAATTCCTATTTTTTGGAATCAAAACCAAAACCTGAGTATCCTGTTGCGGTCGGTTTCGGGTAGGAATCGAAACCAAAACCTAAGTATCCATCGATTCCGATTCTATCCTAAAATTGTGCCCACCCCTAATAAATATGTCACACACTAATACTGATGTACCTTTTGGGCCTTTGTTGGGCTGTTTTAATGACTTTCTTTGGATTTGGGATCCCAATTGATTTTCTATGCGCCCATCTCTATTAATTTTATTAATATTTAGTTTCACTCTATTTTGAATTGGTGAGAAATTTTCCAATAAACTGATACGATTAATTAAAAATACAACTATATTTTTTAATTTAATCCCCCCACAAAAAAAAAAAAAAAGGCTTTGTAGGTGCAAAAAATCTATTGTTACAAAAATAGGGTATGATCTCATAAGGTTGAGGCCACTAACAATCCACTGGGCCTTCATACACAAAGAGACAGCATGAAGCTTACGGAAAACACCAGAGTGGTGTTTGCCGTAGGCACTCCGACATCAACAAGGCTGAAAAAAGAGATTTAATAATAATTAAGGGAAAAAAGGATTACTGGGAGTTTAGACAAAGGCTAGGACTACGACGAAGGTGTCAGGTTCTCGGGAGCAAGAATTTAGGAGTAAGGAGAGGTGATTTCGAGTAGTCGAGATTAAATATTGGAGATCCCCTTATGAGAAGGTAGACCTCTGTTTATATAGTGAACCCAAGGGGTTGGAATTCTAGTAGGACATTGAGTCCTACTCTGGGAGATAATCACTATCAGGAAAGAAATATGATTTCTTGTCTTTATTAGATTAAGTTTACTAATTTCAATAAGATTCAGGATCTTAGTAGAAGAGAAAATAAAATGAGATTCTGATTTCCTATTTATGGACTGTTATAGGATAATGGGTTGGAACCTAGTTTAGTTTAACTTATAGGATAGCTCAACTCATAAAGTGAGTAGTTCACAAGATGACTTTAAGCGTAGAGCCAATCGGAATTGGGCTAAAGCTTTGGGCCGTGACATGTTTATTTCGTTATTCGGTCTCGTCAAGCCCAAGATAATTTTTTGCCCAGACAATTAGCCCCCCACTCTCTAAGTTAAAGGGCATTTAGCTTGGAGAGTAGATTTAATCGAATGAGTGCAGACTGAGCGGATCAATGTTAGCAGCTCGTTAGGTCGGATGGATCGTTGTTTGGAGAAAGTTCGCTCGACCAACCTAAGTTGGGAGGAATTTGTTCAACCAACCGCGGTTGGGAGAAATATGGAAGCTCACTCGACCAACCTGAGTTGGGAGAAGTTTGCTTGACCAACCTGAGTTGGGAGTATTGAGTATCTTGGAGAGTATGTTGTTCCTTCTGTAGGTGTAAGAATGTGCGCACCATAGCCCTTTAAGAGTTGAGTCAGTTTGACTTGATTTGTCCAGATGTGGACTTGGGTGAAGTATTATGGAGTCACTTCAAGAAGGTGATGTATATCAATAAGAGTTGAAATTTTTTGTAGATGCTAAGTACCGAGGCCCGTCGGTGTGACTGACTGTCAATGTAATTTGGGCCTCACGTTTGAGTCGATGTATATCAATTGTAGTTAAAAAAATTTTGTAGATGCTGAGTAACAAGGCCCTATCGGTTTGACGGACTGTCGATGTAATTCGAGCCTCACGTCCGAGTCGATGTAAATTGATTGAAGGTTATCACAATAGACGACTTAAAACAACTTCATATAGTATCATGCATGGTGTGCGATTATCAATAATAAATTGAGTAAGAGAAGTAATGACGTGCATGTGTAATAAACCAAATGAATAATAAGTCAAATGGAGAAGTGATGCAAGATCAAGGGAATAATAAGCTTACTTGGAGAAATGACATGCATGTTTTAAGATAAGAGTCGAATGGGGAATCATCAAGCCAAAGGGAATGTGTTGGTAAATCACACCATTTGTTCCCGCTGTTCAAGGAGATATATCGACTGGAGTTGACTTGTTGATGAGTGACAGAGACATTTGGACAATGTGATCAAAACAGTGTTCATTTCGACGTGTGGGTGACACTGACAAGTGATTTTAGATGTTTGATGACCCGGCTCTTTAGGAGTTGAGTCACTTCGACTTGATTCGTCCAGGTGTGGACTTCGATGAAGTTTGGTGGAGTCACTTTAAGAAGATGATGTGTACCTTTCACTCGGCTTGGCTCATGCTGTTGAGGGGGTGGTGCTATGTGCTAAGTCGGCTCTGCTCTTTTTAGACAAAGTTTGGTGGAGTCACTTCAAGAAGATGATGTGTACCTTTCACTCGGCTTAGCTCATGCTGTTGAATGGGTGGTGCTATATGCTAAGTCGGCTCTGCTCTTTAGTTGAGTGTGGATCCGAGTAGATAGCTTTAATACGAGTAGATTTTCCAAGGAATAAATGGTGTCATGCATGAAATGCATGTGTTAAGCAACCGGCTGAATGAGGAAGCAATATGCATGATGTGCATATGTTATGGACCGAATGAAGAGGAGCTAAATGGAAAAGTAAGGTGCATGGGATGCATGTGCTTTAAGTAATGAACTGAAGGGAAAAAGAATAAACAAAGTGGAATGGCCGGGTGGGAATAAGTTAGCTGAATGGGAAATTGGTCTGAGTGAAAGTGTTGAGCTGAGTCACACAATGCAGGGTAGTGTTATGCCTACTAGTTCACTCAGCTTGTGTGGCCAAGTGAAGATCATAGCAGTAAGAGGTATCATATTGGTCCACTTCACTTGTCTGACCGAGTGGATATTCCAGCCATTGAATGTCTCAATTGGTCCATTCGGCTTATCTTGCTGAGTGGAGAATATATCAGTTGAAGGTGTTCGCTTTGGTCCACTCAGTTTGTCTCGCCGAGTGGAGATGAATGACTCGAATAGAGGTGTTTACACAATGCAAGTGTCAAGTCAAATGGTACGTGACTTTACCTTATTGTAAGGGTGGACGATGGAGCCGAATGAACTTGTTTTGCCAAGGATTCTAAGTGGATTTCTTAAAGCCCAAAGGAGGTCAACAAGGCCGAATGGTAAGCCAAGGCTGAATGAACTTGTCTGGTGTCGAATGGTTATGCACGGCTGACTGGAGATGTTTAGGTCGAATGGAGAAGCAAAGGGCTCAATGGAGTAAAATGCATGGGAGCAGACTCTTCTAGTCGACTTTTTGATGTAGAGGAGCTCTACGAGGGATGTCTTTTCTCGTGTAATTGCTTCTAGCAGAACTAAAACTATGTAATGGACTCTACTCTGATGGACCTGAGGCACGTTTTAAAAGATGCAAAAATACACACACATACCGTAAAATTTCTTTTTCTTTAAAAGAAACAAGAGATTGTTAATGAAGCTACCACAGATAGGCACATGTTTATGTAAGAATCAGCATGTATGAAGAGTGGTGGAGATGGAGAATGAAAGCATGAAAGCATGGATTCAAAAACCCGGTTTTTAAACAAAGCATGGAAATGAGATTATATCTTCTCCTTTGCTTTGGATTGATGAAGATTAGCCCCAAAAAGATGAGACCTCCACACTTTAACACCACCTTTAGAGGTTTAGAGAGTGGTCGTGGCTTTTAGAGAGAGTTTTAGTTTTGCTTTGAGTAAACAATGTGTGTTATGAACAAAAATGCAACCTTTTGCATTTATATATACTTGGGCAATTTTGCAATTATTTATTTTTCACTTCCAAGCCCAATAAAATCTTATTTTATAAAGGGACCCCACGAATTTATTATGCTATCCTTTGAATAATCAACATTATTCAAGGGCCCATGTAAACTAAACTAGTTTACATTAACAACCCATAAATTTACCTTTTTACCCTTTAACTATTAAAAGGTTATATTTGTTCATCTCATTAATCTTAACACTTTAAGATTTAATCTTAACACTTTAAGATATAATAATTAAATATAATTAATTATTGCTTGACCATTTTAACCCTTAAAATGTCACAAACAATTTTCTATGTAACTATTACTATAGAAATCCCGTTGTTACCCTCGAAAGGTGCTAGCCCTCTTCGGATAATCATTTCTCTCTCTCATCCTTCTCTGACTTCTCAAGGCTATTGGTGTGACCATGTAGGTCCATTGTGGATTAGCCGTGAGCCGGTTCTGGATGAATCTGGAAACCTATCTGAAGGCCCAACGACTATGGTAAACATCTAGCAATGTGCCATAGTCCCTAAACCACGATGAAGAAATACTTCATCGAACCCATTTCAGATCATACGTACCATGCAGGTAAAATTCCTCTATTGAGATATCTTGATTGAGCACGGATTCATGGAACGTCAAAATTCTAAACTCGATCTTCTACCGAATCGCTGATCAATATGTCTGGAACTCGTCATCACAAACTTGCTTTTGTATGACTAATAATAGACTCTGGCCAGAGATTCCGTTTTCCGAGATTTATCGATGTTCGTCTCGGAACTCGAATCCGGATGGAGTCAGCGGTACTTCCGATCCTATATTTCCGAGTCAATGGATCCTCTCTTGACTATCGTTCGTTTTCGCATATGAACAACGCATGACCAAATAGGCTTTATTATACGAAACATGATTAGTCTCGTACTTATACACCGTATGAACCATACGCATCCATATCGAATCCGACTACAATGTCTTAGGTCAAATGACTACATCGTGCACTAATATAACCAAACGATAAATCATTAACTACATGCTTTTCCAAGTGATTTGTTGTTATTCGGTCACGTTCGAAAAATAGTTCACCAATCGTTAATCCATACCAATGCCCCAGTGACATGACTATCATCGTCATCCGTACTTATATCAACTCATGATATCTTTCGGAAGCATCCGATATGCCTACTGTGC